TTCGTGATTTCGAGATCTTTTTCGTAAAATTCAAGTGCTTTCGAGTAATCACCCATGTTGTTATACATTTGACCGATGTTGTTGTAAGTAGGAGCCAATGAAGGATGATCTTCTGGAAGAGTTTTTCGTTTAATTTTGAGAGACATTTCATAAGATGAAACTGCTTCTTTGTACTGTCCTTGATCTTTTTTCACCCATCCGAGCTGATGATAGATAAGTGCTTTATCACTGTCGTCGGATGCTTGTTCTAGTAGTGCCATGTACAATTCTTCGGCCTTGTTGAATTGACCAATTGTGAGCAGCAATTTACCCAGTCGATACCATCCAGTGCCGTCGACCTCTTCTCGTATACGGTCGGTTAATTGACGAAGTTGTTGGTCATCATCCGACGTAAGTTTAAGGTCCACTTCATAAAGTGGACTTTTCTTATCAATTTTTCGAACTTCACCAATTCGAAAGACGGTATGCATCGAGAAGAGAATTTCCTCTTCTTTTGCGAAATCACTAACCTCCTTGATGGAAGCAAAAGGAGTCGATGAGACCATAGGATCGATGGTCATTTGAAAGAGAACGCCAATCATTCCTTCTGCTCCTAAGGCATCTCTGGCGAAGCCGAGGGAAATATCACGATCTACACTGGTGGATAAAAAATTATTGAATGAAATGAGTCCACCTTTGCTTTTGACGAGTTCTTCGTGATCTACCTTTGGTAATCCCTGCCCGCGATAAACAACAAATGTCTTACCATGATATTGACTAACTTGCTTGGCGTGTAAACTTTCAATTTGTCGATGAACATCACATAGATAAAATCCCATTCGGATGATAATATCACCGTTGAGTGTTCGTAATGCTCGATTGAGCATTTTGTATGTAAAACATTGGCGGGTATACCACCAAATGGCTTTTGATGGACGATAAGTACGTTCAAATTCCTTGATTAATTTGAGTTCCTTGGTATTGCCTTGGTATTGTTCTTGGCAAAAAATAACTAAATCTTTTATGACTTCTTGACCATGTTCCATATCAAGGAGTATTTCCTTGAATATTTGTGTATACAT